CCAAATTATTTTTACTACACTAAGTACAAAATTTTAAATAAAAAATTAATACAAATTAAACAAAAAATAATAGTTTTTGAATATTGCATGTATTTAACTAATGTACTATAAATCTTTGAATAACTTGTATAAAATCAAATTTCTAAGTATTCAAAATATTGTATTACTTTGCGAAAACAATTGAATTTAATTTTTATAGGTATATTCGAAGTGTATGTTGTAATTCTTTTTATGTATTAAATATTTTAGTTTTCATGGATACTAGAATTCTTTGTCATTTTATTCGTAAAATGTTATTATTTGCTTACAAATAAATTGTCCTACATTACCTAACATATTACAATCATATTCATCATATAAGTCATAATTAACAATTTGAATGATTTTACCATCCACTCTGTGAAACTTATCATTCAAAAAACGTATTACTAAATAATTATAATTCTATATTAACAACACAGTTAAATTTATTTGATTCAAAACATAGACAAGAAGTGCGGAACCAACTTAGAAAGATGAAAAATCATTTCCGAAAAAGTTATCAAAAATAGAGAAAGAGAAGCATAACCTAAAAAATCTACGAACAATAACACTTAACGGATCAACATTTAAATTGTGTTTAGAAGTCCATTTAAACAGAATCGGTGTAATATAATTTGAACGAGTTAAAAGTAATAAATGTATTAGTTTTGATCTTAGGAGTTATGTGCGAAAAATTATCCTTAATTGCATTTGTGTTTGATATTTGATGATATAATATTTAATGTCCATGAATACAAAACTAAAATTATAAAATTGTAATGTACAATAAGAAAATAATTACAAAAAAAAACATTTTTTCTGAACCCCTAGTTACAGATAAAGTAAAGATAATTTGGACTATATTTTATTTGAGTAATTATTTTAATTATGTTTACTGTTGAGGACTTTGTAAATCCACTTATATTTTAATTTAGGTATATCTTTACCACGGGCAAAATAAATTCCATCTTCTCTCGCATACCAAAAATTCATCTGACCATAATGTGGTATAAGCCATACACCTTCATATGCTATGAACTTTGCATGAAATCTGAAACGAATTCCCTTTCCTAAGTCACATTTAATCAAGGTTCCCACGATACTATCATAAAAACTAAAATCGTAAGTTTCTGTAGGAAATAAAAAATGGTCGCCAAAATCGTCTTGATCCGATATACAATGAATCCATAGAGTGTTATTTCGACCAAGATCATTCCTGAAATTTACAGAATTTTTTTTTCGGTTGATGGCGTTAGTCAACCCTACGCACAATGCAATGACAAATAGAAAAGAAAAAAGGGGATTCATTGTTTCACCTAATCGATATGTTCTTTACTTGTAGAG